ATGAGATTGATAGGTCGAAAAGACCCTAACGAAACGATATGGGATCTATTTTACATGGGATGCAATGCCAAAAGAGCTATAGCTTGTTTTCAACAATATTAAGATAGCGACTTCAAATTAAGCAAGGTTACTTAAATATATATCTCAACGTATGCGAATAGAAACATTCATTTGATCTATAAGTGTTAAATTGGTGATGAAACGATATTATTATGAACGTTATACAGCCAAATCAAATTGAATGGCCTAGAGTGGACATGATCAAGATTGCAACAACCCTGTTGTGATTGTGATTGCTGCGTTCAAGGTTAACAAAAGATGGTTTGCGTTAATCATACAATTGAACCTACAACTAAATTGAAAAATAATAATTTGAAAAAAGTCCTGGTCAACTGGAGTCTGCATGGCTAAGGAAGCCCAAGTGATTGGCTGGTTTGGGCTTCAAAAAATTTGACCCTGCCAAGGGCCCCATCTCTTAAGTTATCTCTCTCTCTGTCTCTCTCTTCCATGTCCATATGTGATTGTGGATGTTGGAGACTAGCTAAGGTGGTCTAGTAGATCTAGTTGTAGTTCCCAAATGAGAGGGGCAAAGGAATGTTACTAGATTTAGGAACCACTTTTTGGGGTGTCAGCTACCTACCCTCTTCCCATCTCCTATGCTATTAACCCTCTAATCAAGTTTTCTTGCTTAATTATACTGCTTTCGGCTCATCCCCAGCATTAATTATTTATTCATGATGGTTCAATCATTTATTTACAATTTTTGCCCTCCTTTTTTAGCTTAGTTTTAGACACTTTGTACTTGTGTTCTTTAATTTGCATTTCCCTATTGCCCATAAAGCTAAGTTGGTATGAATCAACCACATTGCAACATGTGGCACCCAATTTAATTTCGAAAATGTTCCTCGACATTAATGCGTAAATTCTTCGAGGATAACCGGTGGAGGATGTTCGAAAAGTTTCAATTAAGAATTCCGCAGTCTGGTTTATAAGAATGTTGGTTTATCGTTTTTGTCAGGTTAGCCTAATAATATCGCACTCGGAGAGCTTTAATAGGTAACTTAAACATTTTTCATGGGCGACGTACCAACATACTTGATGTTTAGGGAGTGAGAACAAATAATAATGCAACGAAGATCATATTCTGAACTTTCAATTTCGCGAAGGACTAATGGACAACTCTCCACCAAAAATTCAGGCTAACTCCAAGAAAAGTTGATTCATAAATGTAGCCGTGATATCAAAGTCCTAAACGTGCTCACGTATACGTGTCCTTTTAAAATCAGGTGGCTAAGAAATTTTCAGAAGCATCTTTCAAAGATCAGGACATTAGTATACGGTCCATCTCCTTCACCAAAACATACCTAATCATTGCTCCAAACTTGATAGCTTTAACTTAATAAAGAAATAGGGAAAGAAAAAAGAAAAGAAGAGAGAGACGCCAATGGCCGATGAAAAGAAGGACCTTGATGGACTGTGCATCTAACAATTGATGGAAAGGAAACTTTGGCCGATGGTTCATTCATTTCATGACATATTTATGAGAATAACGTGCCTTTATCATAGTATATCATGATACTTACTATGAAACTATGAAACTTTAAGTTCATCGAATCGTGCTATGATTAGCATAAGTATTTAGGTGCAATCTCACCATCATGTTAATGCCGAATCTCCATGACGATGAATCGCAAATTGGAGATCATTAGATTAATGTCCCACCAAGGCCAGTCTTCTAGCCAACCTCTAGATTATTTTGTTTGATCGTGTGACCTATCTTTTCCCAAATATGTTTCTAACGAGATTTGCTGAATTGGCTTAAGTTTGGAACATCCTAATGTTTGCAGCCACATTTCTGTTATTACTTTTGGGGATTATGGACACCCTAATTACTTGCGGATGATGTGCTTGGGCGATTTGATGGCGGGCCTTTGTGGAGCCAATGGTATTGAAAAACAAAGAATGTCAATTCGGACACTGATAGTTACACATCAATGCCTACTCCCTCCTTGTTCCTAACATTAGTCCTAGTTGATTATCTGGCAGACAATCCTTGAGAGCTAAAACAAACGAGGGTTAGACAAATGATTGTAAGACGAGAAAACCCTAAACTCGAATTTCGAATCCCATTACATGAGAATAAGACTCACGATTTCGAATCACTATTTTTTGTTAATTACGAATTCCGTACATAGACTTGATGGAACTTTTTAGATGAAGTTTAAAGATTGCAATCCTTTGTTGGGTTTGCTTTGTATGTTAGTTAGGTAGCCAACTCCAACTGTGATGCTTTGATAACCACATCAAGACAATATATCACATCCATTAAGATCTATTTAGGAACAAAAATTTCCTAATAAACAAAATATTGCACTAAAAAAAGAATCCAAAAGAAGAAGGTAAAGGGGATACCCCATAAGTAATCACATCGCGCCACCCAGCTTAAACTGACCCTACAAATTCTCTCTCTCTCCAAAGAGAGATGGGCGAGAGGACTTGTGAATGTCTTTAAAGTGACGAGCAAATGATTGTTGTTTCGCATTTGGGAGTGCATGTATGTAAATTCGTGTGCAAAGCTTTGATTTGATGTCATTGGGGCTATGTGTTACCCCATCGCTCGTGCACTCATCATCACCCTCCTCCCCTCTTTTTGCAACTTGGGCTTTGGCAAAACTGGGGACATGTGTGGAAGGCATTCATGATTTCACCAGATCTTGTGAAGATGGATGATGACATGTGAGAATCCCCCTTTTTTGGTTGGTAAAATCTAATGTGACTTGCCCTTTATATTGGGGGTTCTAGTCATTTTTTATTCAAATATCAATCTTCCATCGTCTTGTTTCTACGGGCCCCATTCACGAATATATCGGGACGGGCGCCGAATGCTTTTTGGTACTCGTATCTCGCCCATTTAGCAAACAAGTGAGAGAATATATGTAAATGTTGGATGATCGGAAACCGAATTATGCCAATAGATTATGACTTAGCTGCGGGAAACTGAGTTATTTCTTCCTAACTCCTTAGGTTTTCTAGGATTAACCGATTTTGAGCTGCGTAGAAGGATGAGAAAATTCTTATTGATTCTCTGTGAGGACCGAATTGTCAAAATCGCTCATCTTTCTTTGTCCAAATTCATTGAATTTTCTTAAAAGTGCGCTCGAGAAAAAAATTAACCCACTTGAGAGAAACATTTTGTCTTTTCCATGAAGAGCAGGCTCGCGCTCTTGTTAACTCCCTCACGATTTGTCGTCAGTCATGCTTTTGAACGAGGCAATGCTCATCTTCAAGAAGCAACCTTCTCTGCCCCAATCTCCAAATCCATCTTCATGGTCCCCCTGATTTTATTCCGTTCATTAATGGCCCTTTTCTTCTGAATCAATCGCGTAACGTCAATCAGAATAGAGAAAATGATGTGCAGAAGGGTTTAGAATTAATTGAAATTCATAAAAAAAAATTGGATGTATAATTCTCATTTTTTTTCTCGATAGGTAACGCGAATTGCCAAAAGTGGTCATCAGACGAGATATATATTTGGTGTTTTCCTTAAATGGATATGAGCAGGTATTATTGAAAATGTATATGATAAACATAAGGGTAGGAGGCGATGGTCTATGGAAGAAGACAATTGATTGCATCAAAACAAAAACTTAGGCAGGAGTTTGAATTTTGAAAAGAATTTATTTTACCGAATCACCTCATACTTTGTACAGCCTTAGGGTTTAGTCTGATTATTTGTTATGATAAACTCCATAGCTACAATTAAAATAACTTTTACTACTTACCATTTTTTCAAATTTTGTGGCACTTGCATTGAATTTTATTTAATGCGAAACACATGAAAAACCTCCCAAAGTATATAAATTTAGACATGTAAGTACACACATAATTTCTCATAATGTTAGTTATTTCGCTGCTAAGCATATTTGAGTCCAAATCCTTTGATTTTGTTCACTGTCAACAAAAAAATATATATATAATTACCATGAGCAGTGTCACAAGATGATATATTCGCATTTTGAAATATAGGAGTTTAACGATTCATTAAATATAATTCTATTGCAAGAATGACAACTTCTTGGCACGTTGTTTATTCATCAGTGTTTTTTTACCGACGGTGGACAAAATGAAAATTTTAGCTCAAAATAATTTGAACTTAGTAGTGAAATGGGAAAAAAAATAGGAGGGAAAACCTTCATGGAGGGGGAGTGCCATGTCATTTTTCATTTAACCCTAAAGTTCAACAAATCTCTTGATTGTGTCCGGTGGGATTTCGTGGATGACATCTTGGTAACACTTCGCACTTCCATCCAAAGGCCCAAAGAGCTGTCCGGTCCAACCCATCGCCAACCCTAATTCGTTTTCTTTTTACCGAATGACGAGGGAGGATCACACTCGCACTCATCTTCTAGATCATCAATGATAACCCCTTTCCATAACCACTTAAACTATCTTAATCATAGATTACTTTCTTTATTTTTTTAAATAATCTTTTTGCAAGAATTTGAACTCATTTTTCTTTTGGAAAAAAAAAGGAAACTCTCACTCCCTCCCTACTTCCCACTCAACCTAGGTTCTCACCTCATGCTAATTTCACATGACAAATATGATGACGTTTACATGAGGGAGTTTGGAGGAAGTATTGGTTTGTTGGTTAATAATGGCTGTCGATAATACTATACAAAGAGTACTTGCATGTCCCCGCGCGAGAGATTTTATAAAATGCTTTCGGACCACGGCGTGTCCGTTCATCTAGATCGATTACTAAATGATAAGTGTGATCGTTTTAAAAGAAAATAAGAAAATTCATAACACCCGACATGCGATGATTTACTCGGGGTACCGCGAAGATTTTGGGTTTCGGGAGCGGCTAAAAATCTATCACTAGCTTTTGCTTCTCTTCACCCATATTTCCCCCATCTCTCGCGAGAGAAAAAACAGAAAAAGCTTAACTCGATTCCTTTTCTTATGTGGAGCAATAGGAATATAAATACGCACACATCACCATCTCTTTCTCTCCCTCTCTGTCTTCTCTCTCTGTTGAATGCTGATTTATTAGTCCCGTAGCCTTCGCTCATTCCTCCGCTTAACCCTCCATTGAAACGATAAACAGATTTTCATACAAAACTCATATTGCTCACAAGTGGATAAGAACCCCGTCTTTCTTCTTCAATATCCACTCCAAATTTCAAGGACTACGTAGCCTTAAATCTCCTTGTTATAGATAAGAGGGTCGATCAGATCATCCATCTTTTGTTTTTCCTTTTTTTCGCTTTTATTGTTCGGCCTTCTAAATCTCAGTATCTCTTTGTGTGATACCTAATTACACTCTTCATCATCAACACGTTTTTCAGCTAAATGGGTATTCTTCACCTCTTCTCCTCTTCCTAACAAACTCTTCTTTTCGGCAGTTGAAGCAGAAGAAAGAATTCCACTTCAAACCCATTTTCTTTTTCTAGATTCTGTATTTGGATAAACTGTCGCAAGCTGCTGCTGCTGCGGCTAGTATTTGTTTGATGGAAATTTTAAAAGAGATCGAAGGGAAGCAATCGCATGATCCGCTCTACGCCAACCGGAGAATAAGCAGGCGTTCAGGCGGCTGCGTCTACGTTTCCGGCCCCATAATAGTCGGCGCGGGGCCCTCGGGGCTTGCCGTGGCGGCGTGCCTAAAGCAGAGAGGCATCGAGAGCGTAATCCTAGAGAGATCCGATTGCATAGCCTCGCTATGGCAAAAGAAGACGTACCGCCGCCTCCGGCTCCACCTGCCAAAGCAGTTCTGCGAGCTCCCGCTCATGGGGTTCCCCCCGGCGTTACCAACGTACCCGGACAAGCAGGAGTTCGTGGAGTACCTCGAGGCCTACGCGGGGCGCTTCGGCATCCGGCCGCAGTTCAACGAGACGGTGGCGGCGGCGGAGCACGACCGGGCGTGGGGGCTGTGGCGGGTGAGGAGCGCAGGGCCCAAGGAGGGGGAGGAGACAGAGTACGCGTGCCGGTGGCTGGTGGTGGCGACGGGGGAGAATGCGGAGGCGGTGGTGCCAGAGATAGAGGGGATGGAGGGTTTTGGAGGGCCCATAAAGCACACGAGCATGTACAGGAGAGGGGAGGAGTTCAGAGGAAAGAGGGTGTTGGTGGTCGGGTGTGGGAATTCAGGGATGGAGGTGTGTTTGGATCTGTGCAACCACAATGCCATGCCTTCCTTGGTGGTCAGAGACACTGTAAGAGACTCTCTTCGTCTTAGACCTCTCTCTCTCTCTATGTTTAAACAAGCAAGATCCAATCAAGTCCATACTTGGAGAGATATATTTTAAAGTGGTATGTCTCTTCTAATTTTGGGTTTTCTTGAAGAGATAAAAGAGTCACTAGAACTAGACGAATCTAGACCAATTTTTTGATACCAGAATCTGATAATAAAAGGAGGCAAAGAAAAAAGGAACGAAATAGTTAGGTTTCACTCTTCCTCCTCCTCCTCTTCTTCTTCTATTTTTCATTTGTTTTCTTTAAAGAGCAGGTAGTATGATTTGAGTCGAACCAAGAAAACCAACCCTAGATGAGGATTGAGCCTTTTTCTAAATAATTTTGGTGTCGAAAAAGCACTTTGTTGCGCATCTTAGTTTTTGATACTACATCATGAGGCGCTAGATTCACTCGTGAGGGAGGGGAAATAATAGACAACAGTTTCCAATTCAGTGCGCGAGTTGCGTTTCACTTCAAGTTCCAACAGTTCATGCAAAACATGGTCATGACTAAGTACCAAAAAAGCTTTAGTTATGTAGGAGAAATTAAACTAGGAAAAAGCATGCTCTTTTATCTCTCACTTTCTTGAAATCCTCCGAGCATGCGCAATATATGTGTCAGGAAAGTTTTTTTTTTCTTTTTTTAACGTAGGATCTTGTTGATCATAATCACAGATACCCTTTTTTTACTCTGATGTTTTTCGCCCTGTAAAAGAAGCAAAACAGCACGCAGTCGCTCATCGACTTTTGCATCTTTTGGCTTCTCTTTTCGAATTCCCTTTTAAGCATTTGTTAATGTGAATGAGCTTTTGTTTTTTGGTGCGAAGAGTGATGACCCTTTGTGCTTTTCTTCTTTGGTTTTGAATAGGTACACGTCCTACCACGAGATGTGCTGGGGAGATCGACTTTTGGGTTGTCCATGTGGTTGCTCAAGTGGCTGCCCATGCGCCTTGTTGACCGGCTCTTGCTCCTCGCGGCTCGGGTCATGCTCGGCGACACGGCCCGGCTGGGCCTGAACCGGCCGAAGGTGGGGCCCCTCAAGCTCAAGAACTTGAACGGCAAGACTCCAGTATTGGATGTTGGGGCGCTGGCCAAGATAAAAAGCGGAGACATTAAGGTACTTGGGGCCATAATATTTCGATATCACATCACTTTTTCCTCTTGACCCCAACCCCGACCGAGCTAGCTCTCTCTCTCTAGCAAACTAAGATTTGGATGGACCCAATTATATTCTATCGATGAATAGTGATTGAGTTCTATCAATGAATAGGGAAAGATGTTGCATTTTTCTGTGGCAAAAACAGTACATAGTTCACACTCCTAGCTAGCTATTTGTTGGCAAAAGAAACAATGCTATGACCTATGAAATTGCCAAAAAAGAAAAAATTCCCGATTCGTTCCGAATCACTAAAAACAATTCTATCGCGACAACTTAAGATTTGATACTAAGCTATGGATAATATTTATTCCAGATTTATGGACTGTCTGATGTAGTTACAGGCTTTTTAATTTGTTCTAAGCAAGTTTTTATGTGTTGGGCAATTGATAGAGCTTCTGTATTGGGCCATTGTTGTAGGTATATCCCGGAATTAGACGGTTGAAGCGCCACACAGTAGAGTTTGTTGATGGCAGGATAGAAAAATTCGACGCCATAATACTAGCGACAGGTTACAAAAGCAATGTGCCTACCTGGCTAAAGGTAACTTTACCTTGCTACCTTCCACTCCCATTTCCCTAATTTGAATAGACACATTCTGCCTTTTCTTTTTCCTTTTTTTTTTGCCAATCGAAAAGATTCGAAAAAGTGAGACGTGAAATTTGCGTTTGTGTAGGAAGGAAGTATGTTCTCGAAAGACGACGGGTTTCCCCGACGGGCCTTTCCAAACGGGTGGAAAGGCGAGTGCGGTCTATACGCCGTCGGGTTCACTAGGCGCGGGCTACTCGGCGCGTCGATGGATGCTCAGAGAATAGCGGAGGACATCGAGAGGTGTTGGAAGGAGGAGGCGAAACACCGGATGCAAGTTCCTAACTGTCAATACCCATAATCATCATGATTATTTTGGTTGCTTTGAGTGTAAAGAAAGAAAAAGAAGAGGCTAAAAGAGACCGAGATTTGATTTGGGTTTTGGTTCATAGGTGATTTAATTATTGGAGGGTTTTTTTTTCTTATGGGTGCCACTGGCACAAGTGCTGGTACCATAGATGGGTGCTCCTCCTTCAGTTGAGGAAAAGAGAAGGGGAGAAAAGGGGGATTAAAGAGGCGTGAAATGAAAACCTATCTGTCCAACGTGACACCAGATGCAAGAGGGCTTGTGGGAAAGGAGGCAATCGAGAGTGAAATAAAGGGGTTGGTGCAAAAAAAAATTTGTGGTGGGGGGGTGGGGAGGGGGGGACCTATGTTATCTGTACATCTCTTGTACATTATCACCAATTTTCGCTAATTAGGTATGACTTGTTCTTTATTTTTTTGTTAGAGGAGGAAGAAGAAGAAGATGGAGGGAGGAGGGAGGGAGGGAGGGAGGGAGGTTGTAGGGTGTTTGGTATTTTGGTTGCTGATTGATATGATTGCGAGTTTTGAGAAGAGAGCATGCATGAATAGCCTAATTCTGCTGTGACCTTTTTGCATATGGTATGTTTCCTGAGTCAAATCAAGAAGTGCCCCAATATTCTCCGTTTCAGATTGATCTTCAAAGCTTCTTTTTTTTTTTGGTAAAGAGAACATTGAAATATCATGCTAATTTTGAAAGGTTTTCGAGACATTTTTAAGCCCCTAACTATTTTCCACAGGGTTTTGTTTTTTTTGGTGGAAGAAGAGATTAGTTTGCATTTATTGTGGTAAAAATTTGTCGCGTTCACTTGAAGCCAAGGAAACTAAAACAGAAAAATCGGAAGTACACATGTTAAGTATGTACACACAAAAATTCAAAACGCCAATTATTTCGTTTTTTACGTGGCGCGTATGGAAAGAAAGAAAATTCACTAGTTTGGAGGAAAAGTGACATGTAAACACGCGCGCACAATCTTATTGCGGCCATTTGGCCCTAATGAAGGGGATTGGTAAGCAATTCCTAATCCATGTTTTAAATATGATTACCGTTTGGCCTTGCTGCTCCTAGCAATCATACACATTTGATTTCATTGGAATAGGGAGACAGGACCACCACCTTTAGTAAAGTGGGCATAATTGCATCTGAAAATCCTCAGAATCCCATTAATTGCATATGAAATATCTCCAAACCCTACAAAGCGAAATGACAGAATGATCTTCATATCTTAATTATACATCAACCAATTATGAAACAGCAACATTCCCATGGATTCATTTTATTGCACGAAGGAAATAATGATGTATTATGCTTATAAAGAGCATAAGGTTAAGATGAAGCTTATCTGGTTTTCTATTGGCAAATTTTAGGCTCCATTTGGGATTTTAATAACACGAAAGTTAATTCTCTAAAAGTTAACTCTATCTTTGTCGTGTTCTATATGTGGAGGAGCCCTCTGAGCTTGCTGAGCTTGATGAGCAAGAAGTGCTCAAACATATATTTCTATGGTGTGAAGCGACCAAGAGTCTTGTGAAAGACACGATGCAATTAAAGCTATGCACCTTCCCCTTTAAGATTAGGTTTAGTTAGGAGTGATTATATTTTTTTAGTGCTAATGTCAGGTGAACTAGTAATGGGTAGGAGCAGTGCAATCCTCTTCGAATCTTGGTAATCATAATTAGCAACATAGAGCCTAAAACCGACCCTATCTTAAGAGTGGAAAAGCACGATGTGTTATGGTCAACGTTGTCCAACTTTAAGGATCTTCAGTGGATTTGTATAATTACACTGTTCGCCCATAGACTTCATCGCGAATCTGCCCATGATTAGGTGAGAAGGGGCTAATTAGATCATCTGTAATTCAACTCTAGGGCAGCAATTTTCAATTAAGTGACCGATGTCTCGAATAAATCCTTATAACGCAAAATTGTTTAACAAGATTAATTCGTCAAATATTCTAAAAAAAAACTGACGGAAAACTGACATGACACTTAGTGAAGATTAATATGGGATTTTATCTGCACATGTCACTTTATGTCATATTGTTGTTCCATTAATTTTCTAATGGATGGTAATTACATTGATCTGATTGAAAATTTTTCTAAAACATATGGAAATCGTGGAAAAGCTCAATACTCTTGGAATTAAACTGAAAATTGAATGATGGAGACAGTTCCTTTTTTTTTTCCACATGAAATGGTTTGGAGTGATCCTTTCGTAGCTCGTACTTTTTGTGATAGGTAACTCTTCAATTTTGTTTGGCCAAACCTAGAGGTAGATAGGTAAACCGATCTTTTTTTCCTTGGCCACAGTGTTCATGCCATAGATAGGTAACTCTTCAAACTTTGATTGTAGAAAAGAGAAAAGAGAACTTCTTTCGTTTTTTTTTTCTCCAATTTTCTGGAATCTTCATCATATTACAAATCATAAAACTTAAAATGACCATGAATTGGATATAGATACAAAGAGAGAGAGAGATCATTTCAACTACTAGAGGAACGAGAACATGACTTATCTTACCCATTTTCATGTCAAATGCCAATGACAATTCCATACAAGATTGGTTTGTATTGTTTCGACGAAAAGTTAACAACAAAAAACCTGTCGAAATATGGATGGATCGATATGCGAATCGGCAAAGGTTGTAAAGGGTCCTTTGTTAATTTTAGTAAGAAAGTAATTGATGAGGAACTTAAATGTACAAAAAGTGGAGACAATTGTCTCACGCAGGAAAGATATATTTTAGAAAAATAAAGATAAAGACATCGGACATTGAGTTTTGTGATTGATTGTATTTCTTTTACAAAAATAACGATGTGGCTATTTATAGCCCCCAATCGTCGTTACCAACGGTTATTGAATTTCAAAAAAATAATTTCTTATTTCTATTTTCAGAACAAATAACTTCCTAATCCTATCTGCGATTACAAGAAGTTACAACAACATTTATCCACGAGAAATTACAAAATCCTGAAATGGCGGCAATAAACATAACCACCTGTAGATATGTTTTTGTGTTGATTGCTTGCTATAATGAGTTGTCCATACTTTTCAAATTGTTGACTGTTCTTTTCATCGATGACTTCTACTGTTCACCAAACTCTCCTATCCTCGACTAAGTCCATCAATTGTCGATTATAACAAAAAATTTGTCAGTTTTTGGTGTCGACATATGTCCCATTTTAAAAGAATTGAATAATCGATGAATCATTCGATTATTTCAAATTAGATAATTAATAGTCATCGTATGCCCCATGTCATTGACAATTTGAATTTTTTCTGTCAAATTGCCTCTTGAATTGTTTTCTTGAAAACAATATAATTAATTGTGTTATGCCTCTAGGAATGGTGCCACTTGCAATATTTTTTGTTTACTATTTTTTTTTCAGGATAACTTAGACTTCGGTTAATTTTATTTGGTCATCTTTTAAGAGTAAATCGAAGATTTCATCTAACTTATTAATGTCAAACGATTAAACTTTATTGTCTTTAACCCTAGCCATTTTTTTTTCTTTTATTCTAGTAGGCTTTAAGGATTGATAAATGTAAGGTTTGTCTCATATTTGCCACATTTATTTCAATGTTTTCATCTAGGTTGATTCATACTCTAACTCATAATTTTCCATCATAACAACATTTTGTGCAAAGTTTTCAAGTGGCCATTTATCTCTGTTTTAAAGAGTTGCTCACACTTAGATATTCTTGTTGTCAATTAAAATAAATCGGCAAAGTCTTGGCCTTCTTAGATTGAATTTCAATCCATCAAAAGCCGAATTTGTGTTATCTTTTTCTGAGAGCGAAGTAAGACATTTATTCCTAAGCTTTCTTAAATCGAGCAAAAAATTGATCTTCCTACTGAGTATTGTATTGATAGAGTCTGGCCAAGCAATTGATAATTGAAGTATCGTTCTATAAAATTGAGAATGAAATTTTATTTCCATCTCTGCTCAATTACACACCGAATTGGGTGGCAAATTAGTGTACTAGATAAAAGCAGTTTTTGACAAAGATACTGGAAATACCTATAGTGAAATATAATATTCTAAGATTAACTGTTATAGTATCTAGCATTGCTCATGCACGAAATATATATAGGTTTTATATTTATGTAGTCTCCCTCTACCTAATTGCTTAACCCTTTCCGTTAGACTTTTTAATACAGTACCATAGTGAGCTTCCACCCTAAATTAATTTCGCGTGTTAGGCTCCCGTTCATCAAATGCACTTGACGATTCTCAGTCGTGCATGTGAGAGGCAATGTCAAGATATCTCACATCTCTTGTGTACATGATTTATATAAGTATAATTAGATTTATGTAATTTCCCTTCACCTAATGGTTTAAGTTTTTAAGTTGGATTTTCTAATGTTAACTTGGGATAGAGTTATCATTCAAAAGTAAAATGAATCTCTCTCAACCGTTAACCATTATTCTTTCTAGCTCTTCGAGCTTCTCATCTTTGGTAAGATTTGTTCTTTATTTTACAAAAAATTAAATCTATCTTCTTAAATAGGCCAAATTTTTTAAAACTTATCTTTTGTTGGTGTAAAGATATAGCTTTTTCTTCTAATTTCTTGCCATGCTAGTGTAAAGATAAAGATACTGACACAGATACAAAGATAGAAGAGCAGGAGAATATATCTTATGAAAAGCCATTTTCTTATGAGATTATTTGCGAAATTTAAGATGAAACTTTGATTGTAATTGAGGATAGCAAAAAATAGAAGGATTTAATATGTCCCTATTTTGGCGTTGTGTTCCAAATAATCTTTTTTCTTTTTTATAATCCGCGGGCACAAGTACGGTCTGGCTACCTAAATGTCCATCAAACATTCTGCAAGCAGCATAAACCGATCGAGCAACGAGGTCTTTTGACCGTGGTGGTCCGAAATCAGAGCAAACTTGAAGATCTACCAAACTCTAAATTGCATCAAAGCAATCAGAAACCTGAGATTGTCTTTGTCATGATGGCACAAGACAAAAAAAAATGGCAGATGAAATCGTCTTCTCAAAGATTGGTCAACAACCAAATCAGGAAATACCGGTTTTGACTTGCGTTCGATCGAGAATCTAACCCGTTCCACCGCATGAGGATCACAAGTAAAACGAAACTCTCATCAC